AGCAGCTGAGATGAGTATTGCCACCGTGGGCTACCTTGTGGCTCCAACAGCTTTTCCTGGCGATCCTAGCGGTGGAGTGGACAGCAACAGAAACAGCTGCTTTTCCCGCGGCTCAGTAAGCACGCGTGCACATAGAATGCAGTTTTACTTTTGGGGGAATTTAAGTATTCCCCCTACACTTTTTAAAACATTTTAGATTTTTCTGCGCACCTGGTGATTGCCCCAAGTGTGCAGAATAACCTCTTTACCCTCCATGTGCCCCAGATCTGCGGAAATAAGTCTCCGCATGCACAGGGGACCCTTGGCTATTAGATATATATATAATGTTAGAAAATAAAACAGAAGATGAAATAGTTAAAAATTCTATGGTCCAATGAGCACAAAACTTGGGTCATAATATTGATTTAGACCAATGGTCACAGGTATGGAAAGCAAATGTAAAGATTACTAAAGCAATTCCATATAAAGAAAATATTTACAAAATGTTTTATAGATGGTTATTACTCCAGATAAATTAGCAAAGTTTTATCGAGAGCCAGTTTGGTGTAGTGGCTCAGTATGCGGACTCTAATCTGGGAGAACCGAGTTTGATGTGGCTCTTACGTTAAGCAAGTTAGCACCCCTGCCGTATGGGGACCAACGGATAATAAATAAATAAAAATGAGTTTCCTGAATATTTTCCAAATTCCAATACCATACCCCAATACCATTCGGGAAAATCAGAAAATACCAATATTTTTCAGGTTTGATATACCCCTAGATTTGATGCCACAGAGGGCACCTTTTGAAGCTGCCATTTTCTCCAGGAGAACTGATCTATGTAGTCTGGAGATCAGATGTAATTCCAGGAGAATTCCAGGCCCCACTTTGTGGTTGGCAGCCATTGGGGGGGGGGGGGGAAACACAGGTGCTTAAAATATACTCCCAGTATTTTCCAAGATTAGGACAGCAGAAACTTTACCTTCACACTGAGCTTTAGAAAACTGCACTTGGTTAGGACTAAGGGAGAATTATACAAGGGACTGGCTTGAATCTCTGCCACTAAAGCCAGTGCAAAAGTAAAGCACAATAGAGACCACTTGTAAAAATGTTCAGAACTAATTTTGTAAGTCTCAGAGGCAGTCAACCTTTGATCTTATTAAATGGAACACACAGACCTCTGCACTCACTGATGCTCAATATGCTTTGGTTTGTATATTAAAACTGACCTGGATTTTTTTTAACATGCCTCTTTATTTGGGCATTGCTGAATGAGAAATTGTTTCTGTCTGAGCATCAGTGACAAAACCACATCAGCATCCTAAGCTCAAAAGATAAATTTTAACTTCTCCGGGGTTTAACCCCTTTTCTTAAATTGCAAAATGCAGGCCTGTGACTACCAAAGAGCTTAACAGATTTGTACACATACTTGTTTAGTAAGTATCACCCTGAAATATTCATGGGTGGCTATAATGTCAGGCAATAATGTGCTATAGAACTTTTAAGTGTAGTGGCAAAAAAGTTGCTGCTGAAAAATTTATTTGAATGCTAAAGTTTCCCAGAAATCAGGAGTCATCTGGTATAGATGAATGAACAGAATGATAAATGTGAACAGAAAATTACACAGAGACTGGTTTTCATAGGGGATTGATTAAAAGGGATTGGGGAACAGTTTATGTAAGTAAACACGGTATTTGTGAAAATTCGGGGCGGGGGGGGCACAGCAATATTCTGGAGTACACCATTTACAGCAGACTCTGAAATCTTAATTGCACCCAAAAGATTTCAAAGGCTTCTGCTTCCATCATGAAAAATGAATACTCTTGCATTTGAAGTTATTGGCCAATTAGGACCATGGAGGGAGAGGAGGATAGGGCAGCAGACAACTGAATGCTGTAGACTGTTTTGGTCCTCCCTTTGCCTGAGGAACACTGACAATTATGTCAGCACACAACATCCCATTTTCAACTGATGTTGGCTTGCACTCGGTTGGAAGCCACTAAATATAATCTGGATGAAGGAGCTGATCTGGTCTGTGTCACCAAGATAGCCTGAGAACTTGGGGCCCTATATCAGCTAATTACCAATCCCAAGAGAGAAGTCTACTCATTTCAACATCCAGAGAAAGTAACATAAATTTATCACAAAATAATTAAACAGATATTATAGGCAAACCATTGAAAGAGGTTAATTCACAAAAGTGTACATACTTGCTGAAGTATATCAGTGCCATTTATTCAGGATAATGCAATAAAACCTGCTACATCATCAGTTATGTATTAATGACAAATATTTATATATTAAACACATGTTAAGTATGCATATGTTTGTATATATATTCCACTTCATATTAAAGAAAAAGAAAAACAGAAATCAAAAGCACCTCAGTCAGGTTGAAGACTGGAGATTACAAGGGCAGCTCAGACTAAAGATTTCTAATGAAGAAATAATTACAGAATGACAAACCTGATGAAGGACACGCAAACGGATAGTGTACTAGAACTCTGTCGTTTGTCTGTAACTAGTACTGTATTACTTTGTATGTACTGCTAAGCTTTATATCGCACATCGTAGTGTTATTGTAATTTTGTTAATAATTGAATTCTAAACATTGCATATAAAAACCAACAAATATTGTTTAATTGTACACTGTGATTTACTGTTTTACTGGTCAATAAAGCTTGGGGCAAAATAATTTTGCCTGATATTATATAAAAGCTCCAATTATTTTTTTTTTTGGGGGGGTCTCTTTTCCCCAAAAAGATAATATTGTCATCTACATTCTCAAAGGAGGACTCCACACATCTTTTTTTGTTTGGTTTGAAGAAAGTTTTGGTAAGATCCTGTTTAGCCACAGGAGCATTCTTCAAGTTGCAAAATTTATATGTTTATACATCAGCTCATTGACTGATGAAACATATTTGATACTTTGGGAAAATTCTGACTGGGCTCATTATATCCCCCTCAAGGCAATTTAAACTTTACTTTTTTCAGGTGGCTGGAATAAAAATCCCCCCCCCCCCGATATGGAACTAAGGCCAGCTTGTGGTCCCTTACCTTTCAACACACACAAGTCTAGGTTTCAAAAAACTCCAGATGAGCAAGAGACCAAAACCCACATGTTGTAAAGTTCTGTGGTGCTGTGGAGAGTATGTGAGTTGTGTAGTGCATATATATGTATATGCAATGAACCACTCTAATTTGGCCTTGTTTGCTTCTCTTCTTGCATCCATTTCTTCTTCTACCACATCCGTACTACCCACTTCTTATTTCCTGCTCTTTGTTCTCCTCCTGTCTCAGTAGAAACATTCTGGACAGGGACTGCACTGTGTCTACTCTCTGTATAGTACCTAACACAATTCAAATGACATAAAGAGCTAAATGGTACTTATAACATGGTACAGAATTCACTTTTCTCTAACCATTTCCATTTCACATAGAGTTGTCATATGCCCATGTGCAGCAGGTAAACTCCTGCTTCAAGTTCTAATCCCCCACCCCCAAGAAATTGGTGTGGGGGGGAGATATTCCATATTAATGCTCTAGGAATTTCCCTATTAGTCTTAGTCTTTACCATAGAGATTAGGAGAAATTCCTAGAGTGTTAACCATAAGTGATGTCACATCCTCTCCAAAAAGCATCTACCTCAGGCACTGCCCTCAAAATCTCCCAGCATTTTCTGAGATGCTGCCAGTGCCAGAGGTCATTTCGGGGGGGGAACGCGGGGGAACGCAGTTCCCCCGGGTGAGGTGCAGGGGGCGGGGCACATGATGAAGCCCCGCCCCCTGCTTCCGGCCGCCCCGCTTCCGGCCCTCATTCAGCCAGGAGGAGGCAGGAGAAGAGGGAGGGTAAGTTGCTTCCTCCCTGCCTCTCCCCACCCCTGCCTGCCTGGGGCCAGGGAGGGCCTTTGCGGGGCTTCCTCGCACTCCTGCTGGCCTTGCATGTCCACCGCCGGGCCCCTGATGTCAGGGGGTGTGGCATATGCTAATGAGTTATGCTAATGAGTTCCCCTAGCTCTTTTTCTACGAAATGACCCCTGGCTGCCACCAATTCTAATTTCATATTTAAAGGTGTGCCCACACTATACACTTAATCTTTTGCATTCCTTTAACCATCAAGGCTTCTCACAAAGAATCCTGGGCATGATATGTTGTTGAGGAGCTAAGAATTCAGTCAGAAAGCACCAACTCTCTGTCTACAAAACTAAAATTCCCAGTGCTTCCAAGGAAAAGGGAATGTCTATGGAACCACCTTAGATTAGTATTATATATACATGCCCAGACTTTCAAGAACCAGCAGTGAAGGCACGGACAGCATCTTTTGAACTGCTCCTGCAGACGTTATTCACAAAAACAAGAGATGTGGAACTACCCTATCAAATAGAAGAGCCACTGTCAAAGCTATGTGTGGTTTGGGTTCTGCAGCTTATGTCACAATTGAAATAGCCTTGTTGGGATTTCAGAAAGGGAAGAGGAATTTAGGAACACTCAAACCAGCTAACTAAGACATGAGCTGAGCATTTGTCTCTCCCTTTCTTAGGGTTGCCAAGTTAAATTAACTCACTGGCGGGGGAGCCTCGCCGTGCTCCAGGAGCCGTCCCTCGTCGTGCGCGCGCGCCACCAGCACATCACCAGAAGTGACACGCGACGTCGATCACGCTGAGGGCGTGGCACCGATCGTCGGAGGGAAAACCACAGAGTTTTCCCTCCGACGATCGGGGCCACGGCCCCAACGTGATCGACGTGGTTGCGTCACCTCCAGTGATGCAGCCACGCTGTGCTTCGGGGGGCGGAGTTCCCCCCGGGGCCCAATTTCGTGGCGGCAGAAATCGGGCCTCCAAAGCGGGGGTTTACCCGCCCGCCGGCCCGCGGCAGCCCTACCCTTTCTACAAGTAATTTACCACATGCAAAAGTTATATTTACCCACACATTTCTGTACTATGATGAATTCTTCCAACTGCACTCGATAATCATTAAAATAGTAAGAAACCATGATATATAGTCTTCTTCCTGGGTACTTACAAATTCTTGGATTTGAATGCTTCGGCAAACTCCTGTACGCTCCGAAGAGATGCAAGGTCCAAGGTCATTGCTTCTACTTTGGCTTTGTGCTAGGAAGAAAACAAAGGGGGGGGGAATAAGCAAGAGCAACAACTTTGAGGCACAGCGGCAGATTACACAGAATGTTTAACTCTCCCTGTTTAACATTAGAACCCCAAAATGAGTATAAATCCAGTACAAATGGAGGAAAATAATGAACTCGGCTAAATGTTGTGCTCCTAAACACACAGGAGTTGAGATGCTCCTGTTAACAAGGTTGGAGAACCAGAAAAACTCCACCTGAAATTTGGATTCATCATAAGAATATAAGTAAAGCCTGTTGGCTCAGACCACTGGTCCATACCGTCCAATATCTTGTTTTGCACAGTTGTCCTGGAGGGCCAAATAGCTCTTCCCTGATGCTTTCTTCCAGCACCAGAGCTTTAGAGGTGTGCTCATCTCCCTTATATATAAAAGCCTAATGGTGGTGGCACTTTTCTAGAACATTCCACACGCTCCGGAATTGGTTGGCGCCCTGGTGTGTCACTCAGAATCTGTCCCTATCCACTGGCTGCATTGCTTGAGTCTTGCCTCCAACATTCTAAACAGTTTGCTGTTCCTCCCCCCCCCAAAGCCAGTCATAACACAGAGGTTATTTGCATATGCAGCCTCATTGGCCTTTGCCTCGGAACACAGAGGTCGTTTGCATATGCGACTTGATTGGCTTTTGCCTCATTCTAAAGGGTGGAAACCTGAAGAGTGAGGGGGAAATAAAGGTAGGTTGATGGTTGGCTGGGAAGGAGACAGGGTTGCCAACTCCAGGTGGGAAATTCCTGGAGACGTGAGGGATGGAACCTGGATAGGGTGAGGTTTCAGGAGGCATGGGACCTCGGACGGGTACAAAGTCATAGACTCCACCCTCCAAACCAACCATTCCCTTCTGGGGAACCATCATTGCCAATCTCCTGGTGAGGGCTGGAGATCACTCAAAATTACAACTGTTCCTTAGGTAGCAGAGATCAGTTCCTCTGGAGAAAATGGTGGACTCAGTGTCATTATACACTGCTGAGGTCGCCACAGCAAATTGACACTGAGTGTCCAAGGCTGGTGCACCCGCCCAGAGCCTCTTTCTAGAAACCATTGTATTTATTTCCACAACGAGCCTTTTTCCTAGTTCTATATATGGAAGTTTGCTTTATGCACCATGGTTAGTAGCCATTAATGGACCTCTCCCCCATGAATGTGTACATATTTAAGTGCCATCAAGTCACAACTGACTTATGGCAACTCCAGCTAGAGGCTTCCAAGGTTTTCAATAGGTTTTCAATGGGTTTTCAATATGCTGTTGTTATTACCCATGTCTCTATGGTCTTTACCATAAAAATTAGGGGAAATCCCTAGAGCATCATCTGGAAATGCCATCACATCCTCCCCAAACTCCACCTTCCTCAGACACCCTCAAAATCTCCTGGAATTTGTTGAAGCAGTGCTGCAACCCTACCAATGACCTTGCTCCTTCCTTCTCTCATGTTTTAGGGTATGTCTGCAGCAGGACTTTGTACATACAACCCAACCTGAAAAAATGGAGAGTGCATGTCATCCCTCAGAACCTACTCACTTTCAGTGGCACAGATGTCACAGTCTTATGAAGTTGAACATGCCAGAGGGCTTGCGCAAGCCAAAGCAATCCTACTACCCTCAACACAATACCTCAAATTATGATTTTCTTTATTTTATAAGTCCCCCTTTCTCACTGAGGCTCAAGACAGATTACATGGTATAAAACAAAACAATAAAATAGCATGACAGATCTAATAAAACAATAAGCAATGCAACAGGACTAGGATTACTAAAATTAGAAAGTGTGAAAAACGTATCAGACATGGTACATCGAGCAATGCAGAAAATGGAATTACAAAAGTAGCAAACAATGCAGTAAGAGCAAGATAATATGTACAATTATTAGATAATACAAGCAGGGGACCCACAAGGACTTGTGGAAGGCATCTCATTGCCCCCTCCACCATTTCCTCTTTCCCTTTCCTGAAAGTCTACATAGCCTCTCCCCTTTTCCTGCTCCCTTCTCTCCTTCCCACCTACAAGCCAGCCTATCTTTATCTGCTCCTAATCTTCAGCTTTCTCTCCCTCCCTCTGGCAGTATGTACCTGGGAAAACTATGGTCCAGTTGTGTAATGCCGGCTGTGGGGCTGGGCCCACGTGCTTGGTGGGGAATCCACAGGAAGCACCTCATTTTCCCATGTATCCCCCTAACTCCCGGTAACCATATATCTTCACCTTTTCCTGTTTCCTTCTCACCTTCCACCCACCAATCAACCTACCTTTTATCGACTGCCTATCTTCAACTATATTTTTCAACCCTGCCTTCCTCCACAAGCAGGACCCAAAGCAGCTTACATCATTCTCTCCCATATAATGTAAGGAAGATAAGACTAGAAGAGTCCAAGGTCACCTTCCATGGCAGACTGGTGATTTGAACCCGGTTCTCACAGATCTTAGTCTAAAGGTCTAACCACTACACTACACTGGCTTTCACTGGGTAGCTGTTGTTGAAATAGTAGCAAGCAGCTGGGCTAGGGTGACATTTTGACAATTAGACATATTGATGATGATATAGCATGCACAGTGGCTGTGCGTTATCGCCAAGCAAAAGTTAAAACAACCAAACAAAAAAATGGCTGTGCAAACAGGTTCATTTCTTCACATTCAGGAAGAGCTAGAAAGACTACAAAACTGGCCAAGCCTTCCTGTACTCTAGTAGCTTATTTAACAGAGGTTTATCTTTTCTCTGTGTTGTTGTTGTTTTTTTAAGATATAAGGCTCCTTTCTCATCTCCAAGGGGGAAATAAAAAGCGGGCTACAAACACAAGGACAGCAAGGGGTCAAAACGCATCAAGTAGTTCAACAGACTAAGCCACAAGCTGTTAGTTACTGTACTCTTGGGAACTGTGATTAAAGTCCACACACTATTACTGGAGTAATGCCTTTGCCTCTTGGTTTCAGGTTTCTGCTACTGACTCCAAAACCGAAAAGGAAGCATCTGTAATATTACAAATGTGACCGGGGGTGGGGGTGGGAGCGGGTGGGAGGGTAAGCAATACTTCCCCTATTCCTTCACAAGGAGAAATCCGCTGGAATAACTGAATGGTGTTTGTAGGTAGAATAAAAATATTAAAGAAATGATAAATGGCCAATTGTGATATATAGATGGCAAATTCAAGCTATGAATATGGGTTTCTACTCTGCCAGTTCAGCCAGTGAACTGAAACCCCCCATCTAATAACAATCCATTCTCCACTGCCAGTATAATCAATGTCCCTTTATTTCCAACAGTTAAACTCATTTGCACTTCTGCGGCTTTTTAGACTTGTCAGACAAAAGGTTATCGAGAACAGTTAGGCTCAGTGGCAGCGTCTTAAGCAGCTCAAGGAGAAGTCTTTATAAGGTCACAAGTGCAAGAAAATGAAGGTTTCTGGGGTGCCAGACAAATTATAATAAAGAAAGTACAAGGCAGAAATGCATGCAATCACCAGCAGACCTGTAAGCTATAAAAATGTTACTAAAGCCTCACAGAAGTGTATATATTGACTATCATTAACACTTGCTTCACATTTACAAGTCTCTCTCTGTACCTATGAGGCTTAGGAAGTTTGGGTTTTGTTTTTAAATCTGAATTTCATTTTGCCAGGGACTGAAACTTGAATGACTATAAAAGTTGTGAAATGCATAGTACAATAATGAAGTATACACAGGCTATATTTGAACTTGCAGTTTTTAGGTACTGTGACTGTGGGATGGGCAATGCAAATAGAGTTGTCATACCTACCGCTGCCAGCTTCTGCTAGGGTTGCCAACTCTGCCTTGGGAAGTTCCTGGAGATTTGGGGGTGATACCTGGATGGGGATGGAAGGGAGCTCTGTGGGAAATTGATGTCACTCTAGGGTTTCCATTTTTCCTAGACTCTATGCAGTACCATAGAATCTGACCTCAGAAACTGTTCCTCCTGGGGAATAAACCTCTGCAACCTCAAGATCAGTTGTAATTCCCAGAGCGCTCCAGGCCCTACCTGGATTATGGTAACCTTAGCCTCTGCACCAGTATGTCACTTCCAGGTAGCTTTAGGAATCACCAGAAACTCTATGGTTTAACTAGAAGTGATATCAGCAACATTGCCAACAAAACATTCCCCCATGTCCCTGCTTCCAACCCTCCTGCTAACTGCCTGGATCGGGCTGGCAATCCTGTAAAAACTACACACTACATATCTACACAGGAAGGCCTCTGGCTCATTGTGTGGCCTTGGGTAAGTACCTCTCTCTTCCAGAGAGTGAAGACAACATACAAAGGTCCCCTGTCAAAGCTGACATTACGTCAATGAAACTGAACTATTAAAACATCTGCCAAACTTTTCCAAGGCTTGCCTCAAGAGGAGAAAATTTTTTATTTGCAGAGCAGCAGAGGCCCTATCAAACTGCCACACTGAAAAATGTTATATCTCTTTTCACCCTCAGTTCCCTGACTGTGGCTTTACTTTCACACAGTTGTTGTGAGGTGAAGAAGAGGAGGAGGAGGAAGAGACTGGATTTATACCCCACCTTTCACTACCTGAAGGAGTCTCAGGGCTGCTTACAATCCCTTTCCCTCCCCCTCCCCACAGCAGACACCCTGAGAGGTTTGTGGGGCTGAGAGAGCTCTTTCAAGAACTGCCCTTGGGAGAACAGCTCTGAAGGAACTTACGATTGACCCAAGGTCACACCAGCAGCTGCATGTGGAGGAGTGGGGAATCAAACCTGGTTCTCCCAGATTAGAGTCCGTGCTCCTAACCACTACACCAAACTGGCTCTTTGTAGTAGTTTTTTTAAAAAATGAAAAAGCTACATATATGGCTTGTTACACTAATAATATAATCAAAACCAAGAAAATAGTTTGCTTTTTGCCCTCGCTTACAGAAGCAATAAGACTTCACATGACTTTTAGAAAAGTAATGTTAGCAACAGCCCTTGAGACAACTTCCTTATCTAGAAGCTCAGCTCT